GCGTTTTCACATGCAGTCATTTGTCTCCATTAGTGCTGCCAAACACACTGGCTAATGAAGCCGGATTGCTTTCATTGCCACAGACTGTTGTGGCGGCTTTCTCTTTATTTGCTCTCTTCCCCTGAGAACATTTCCGTTATCATCTCTGTGGTGTGTGAGTGTTTCCCTTTTATTAATTCCATCTAATGTCTATAAAAGATGGAAGGTCATACTGAGGAAAGCTCACGTTGAGCCAATAATAATGCATCCATATCAACAGATTGGGTTTTATAACGCTCTGATGTTGAATTCTATTTCTGTGCCGTAATTGATTGTTATTGGATGTCATATTGATGTTACAGCCGACAAACAAAGACTTCTTGCGTGCATTTCCCGTCCAGATATTTGTCTAGTTTTACTCAAGCTGCAAATAGCGGCACTAAAATGCTCCTTTATGTAATATGTGAAAAAGATAATAGAAAAGTATGTGCCATTCTCAGCCTCTCAAGTGCAATTACTGTGCCAGTGAAATACCAGCTGTCATGCTGCTGTTATGAAGGCAGGGAACACATAAAAGCAGCACCATTAGGAGACCAATAGAAAGCTGACCTTACCCACACACACACACATATCACCCAACATCAGGACTCCAGAGTGCTTATATGACTTAATGAATCTGGTTTCCTCTCACTCAGTCCTGCTTAGACATCAATGACATTCTGAAGAGGCTTTATAAGCAATAGCGAATAGCGATGATGAATCAGGTGATGTTTTGTTGTTGGTTTGTCTCACTCTCAATGCTGGAAAGCTCAGGAGCCACAAAGCAAGATCCCTTTAGTTTCAATTTAATTAAATTTTAGTTAATTTTAATAGTAATTCTTATATGTGACCATGGACCACAAAACCAGTCATAAGGGTCGATTTTTCGAAATTGAGATTTATACATCATCTGAAAGCTGAATAAATAAGCTTCCCATTGATGTATGGTTTGTTAGGATCGGACAATATTTGGCCGAGATACAACTATTTGAAAATCTGGAATCTGAGGGTGCAAAAAAAATCAAAATATTGAGAAAATCACCTTTAAAGTTGTCCAAATGAAGTTCTTACCAATGCATGTTACCGTTTTAATATATTTACAGTAGGAAATTTACAAAATATCTTCATGGAACATGACCTTTACTTAATATCCTAATGATTTTTGGCATAAAAGAAAAATCAATAATTTTGACCCATACAATGTATTTTTGGCTATTGCTACAAATATACCCCAGCGACTTAAGACTGGTTTTGTGCTCCAGGGTCACATATAATAATGAGGCAAAGAAACAATGTTTGGAATGCCTTAAGACCTTATTTTTTGTGTAACTTTACACTTGAAGAAAAGTCCATAAAAACAAGGCCCAATGTGTTGTGTTAATATGAAGGAATTTAACATAGGTGTTTTACCTGCATTTTTTATTACATTTATTGCATTGTATTGTGTTTTAGGATTAAAGGAAATGTTTGTAAACTTAACAGAAAAATTCTCTTCTGGGAGAAAATTAAGGTAATTTATGTTTGCACTGGACAGCAGAATCTCAACATCATGTGATCTACAAAAATGACTCGAATACACTGTACTGCTCTAAAATCTTACATATTACATCCTCATGTAAGCTCAGTGTCAACTTCAGCTCATCATGAGCATCCAGTTCATTTGCTTTTCATTATATAAATAAGTAAATTATAATGTTATCATTATGAATTATACATATTTGATTTTTATTAATATATATTTTATCATTCATTCATATATTATTCACAAAATAATATTTACCTAAAAACATCAAGGGACTGCTGATGAAAACTGGCTTTTTGCTATGTACAGTATTTACATTTATTTGAATGTTTCTTCATGTACATTGTCCTTTTTAAAATTAATATATAAAAATAATATTCAGAGCAGTTTTTTGGCCAGATAATTGACCAGAGCAGATTTCTGAAAGTCTAATATTGCTTTTGCTCCTCTTTTATAAATGTACAAATGTATAACATACTTCATACTTTCACTTACATTGGAAGCATATTAATTGTAAATTTAAATCAGAGTTCAGCTGGAACTGCAGAACAGCAGCGAGTGTTGTTCATTTCAAGCATGGCTTCACCTCACTCTCTCTTTCTGTCATCTTTGCACCTGTTGTTAATGCCCGTTTGTGAGCAGTGAGTGCTCTGGGTCTTGGCATCTCACAACTGGCATTTATGAACAGTCACACAAATGGCTTTCAGGAGCAGAGAGAAGAGGACTGTGTGCCAGTAAACCGACTCTATAGCTGCCATCACTCAACATGAAACAGTGTAATGAAATCCCATCTGCTGCGGCTCTGAAACACGGCCAGAGATAATGCATGCGTTTAGTGTGCTTTTGTGCACTTTACAACACCAGCAAGACCATTCTTCAAGAAAACAAGTAGAAAGTAAAGTTTTGTGCTTGTAAGATTGAACTCATCTAGATACACAAACTCCAAAGTTGCAAGGTGTGCAGCATTGTAGGAAAGGGGAGTAGATATTATATTTTAACATTTTGAATGAATCTATAACATATTCAAGCGATGTTCATGTATAACGTATTCATGTAGAGTAATTTCATATGCTACACTGCAAAATAATTTTTAGAAAACAATATAATAAGTAAATGTATCTTGATTAAGGACTGATTGGCTGATTGATTTAATTATTTATTTTAGATATTTGTAATGAAAAACAAAACAGCCATATGCAAAAATAGCAATGACTTTCGAAATAAATAAATTGTGCGACCATCTGAACATTTCTTTGTTGAATCAGGCTTTTTAAAATCCTGTTCCTTTTGTTTCAAGTTTGTTGCTTTCTTAGGACTATGCAGCATGTGCCTGGACCTTTTCCTTACCATTTAATCACTAACTCATTAACACAGCACGGCTGTCTAGCAGGCCAATCAATTGTCTTATTGATCAATTAAGCGCTGAGACCAAAATATCATCTCAAAACAGCCAACGCTGTGAGCCGCAGGTCATGCTATAACGTGAAAGCCAACGCCAGTCAGGATCCAGTCCAAAGACAAGCTTTAAGAAAATATATATTCTCTATTTGAGCTTTAAAATCGTGTTTTCCAAAGCTTTACTGTGTGGAAAGCAGGAAGACATTTGACTGCATTCAATGGCACCTTCAAGGTTAGCAGCTGCTAAAGTGCTGGCCTTGCCCTTCACTGTAAGAGAGTGACATTTAAATCCGCCAGACTACATCTGCAATAAAACGTTGCTTTTAAAAGCAAACATCGCTGATTGAAAAGTTCAGAGAGACAGCATGCAATTTTCTAGTGACCTTTAAGGCAACTAGGAGCTTGTGAAAACCTTTTAGCGACACAGAATACTGTGCAAATTATTTTATTTATTAATATTGAGAGTGCACAATAATTTGTTCATTTTTCTAGGAGCTGTTCCTTTCATTTCTAGGGTGTTATTTATTTTTTTATTTTTTTAGACTGAGACATGATTGCAGCCAACTTTTAATGCAGCATTTGAACTCACTCCCACCCTTACCCACTCCATTTACGTGTTAAGCATCTTCTCCATGTCAGAAAGGGCAAAAGCACACAAGTTTGGCTCAGACCTGATCCTCATGTCTGTGAGTCAGTTCGAGAACTGGACAGATTACCATTTGTGAGGCCTGTTCAACTATTTTAGCACAGGTTATTCCATTTCCTTCAGCCTCACAGCTATTCTTAATATTTATGAACCTGCTAGATATGCATGCTTGGACCGTCTGTAAGATTAGTAAATACTGGCTCACTCAAATGGAGGCAATGGACAGTAAAGTAATGTGTATGCTGCTCAAATAAATACTAGAGGTTTGCATTACAGTGTTTTTATATGAATCATGGCTGAAATAAACTGATCTGGGACACATGAAACTTATTAATAAAATTTATATATATATATATATATATATATATAATGTGTGTGTGTGCGTGTGTGTGTGTGTGTGTGTGTGTGTGTGAAATCAGGCAATGAACAGCAATTTACTGTGGTAGCCTATATCAGGTGATAATAATAATAATATAGGTCAGACTTTCTTGGATCTAATGGTGCATTCAAGTATTCCTGGGAAAGTCGTATTTACAAGTTGCAAAGGCGAAATTATGATGTCATGTGTGTTCAAGTCAGTTTGGTTGGAGCAAAGATGACAATGTACCGTTTCTACAACAAAAAAAAATTAAGCAAAAATCAAGATTTTAAAATTCTACTTCTACACTAAAAAATGCTGGGTTAAATATAACCCAGCGCTGGGTTAAAAAGGGCCAAACCCAGCTATTGGGTTGTTTTGACCCAGCGGTTGGGTTCAAAACAACCCAACCG